AAAATATATCACCTACAAAAAGGTTCAATATCACATGCCAAATGGAAAAAAAAAATCATTGAATAATTTAGATGCGATTTTTTCAAATGTTAATCGTGTCTAATTTTCTCCAAATTTATTAAAGATTTCAAAATATTTTTTTGCATTGACCATTCCTAATTTGTCCTATATTCTCTATTAAGAGATTTTAATGCCAATATAGAGCTAACTATCCTATATTCTCTCTATTAAAGATGCTGACTCACATTGATAAATTCACGTGTGTTTATGTTCACATAAACTCTTCAAAGGCCATTCATAAAATATCAATTGAAGATCGCAGTTAATTCAACCGTGTACAACCCTTATATATCAATTCATTGCGTTTTTTCACATTTGATTTTAGTTTCGGTAAATCAATTCCTTGTGTTTTTATTAGCAGAATTGGAGTGACTTCAATGAACGAAGATGTCGTCAGATAAAACGAGTTCGAGTCGGCAAACAAGAAATTCAATAATCGGATTAGAAGAAACATTGCAATCATTCGTGCTTCAGTTGGTAATTTAGTACATATGCTTAAATAAATTTTCATCATATAATGGTGTATATACGTAGCCGTGCTTCAACTTTGTCAATGAAAAGGAAAAATGCTTAAAAAACTGATGCACTTTTTGTAATTTTGGGCACATATATTTCATGTATCCTCATAATTTGATTAATATTTTATTAATTTTTACTATCACATAAACCACTGCATAACATAACCATCAATTCATATACAGAAAACTTTGCGAAAATCATATACAGTCATTTCAACACATAAGAGATTCAACAAAAGGAGCAAAAAAGCCATTGAAGGAAACACATTCCAAGATAAGCCTTTTAGAATCCATATCATCATGTATGCAATAAATTATATTCCAGATTTTCTTCATTCATTCAGATGCAGATAAAAAAAAATGAATTTTATAGAACCCAATGTCTAATATATTCAGATGCATAACATGTCTAATATTTCACTGAAAGAATCTTTGCACGATTCAGATGGAAACACAAATGTAGTTCACTAAATAATCAATTATTCAACAATAAAAGTGGCTTTAAGTAACACTAAATTGTAACACATTGTGGAAAAGAGATTTTGTGTAACATGTATTTGTAACATATTATACAATAAAATATTTAGGTAACACTATTGTAGCATTTTATGAATATGTAGCACTTGTATGTAACATTTTTTTAAAGGTAATACCACATAAGTAACACTTTTGAATTTTTTTTTTAATGTAGCACAAAGTATGTATCATTTTAGTTAAATCACATTTTATGTAACATCTATTAATTAATTAGTAACACATTTTTACACTCGTTTATTAAAATAAGATATAATATTTTTTTTTTTTTTTTTTTTTTTT